CATTATTTGGTCAAAGACGGGAATTAAAGATTGAAATATTTGAGTTTTCCTGGAATCCAATGTTGTTTTCAGGGGTTAAAGGAGCTGTGTATAAACTGTACCCAAATCTTACGCACTTTTGTAACCTACAAGACCAAAATTTTTGTATAAAAGTGGCACTTAATGCTTGGTGTCGTCATAATAGATTATACTAAGAACAGAATTTGCATGTGATGAATTTTAAAGCAAAATTCAGTGTACTATGTGTGGCCAGTCTGTTAAGTTTGTTTATTGGTGTGTACGGTGGGGCCTGATGCAAGCTTGTGAACTTGCAGAATGGGATCTTAGGCACAATACTGCAGCTTTAACAGCTACATCCTTTAGAATACACTTAGAACTGTTTGTAGCTCTCAGCCCATTAAAATCTATTCATGTTACTAACATTTTAACCCCTTGCGTATCTTACGTAATAGAGCGTAGTAAAATGTAGACCCATTGCAGCATTCAGAGTACTAAAAGGCAATGAACACAGATCACGTATCGTGAAAAAATAAAGATGCACATGAATATGTAAATGGAGAAAGCAAGTAAGCAAGCAAGCAAGCAAGACATACAGATTAACTGGCGTGATACAATTAGAACAAGCATAAATTTATGTAATTTTTTCCGTCAACGCAACAGTACGCAACAATAATTTATTTATTTATAAAAACACACTACAGGTTTCGACCTCAAACATTCAAGGTCTAGTGAATCAAATAGAAGCTAATTTGTACGAACCATTTAGAAAAATGAGGATGTTGGCTTTTCAGTTCAGTAATAGTATGGGAGAAACTTGCAGCACTTGAAGATGGCCCATTTGAGGTCGAAACATGTAGTGCGTGCTTTACAAATAAAGAAATAATAAAGTATTATTACGTTGACGGTAAGAATTACATATGTTCAATGTATATACGCAATAGGATGCAGTCCTTAAAAAAAGCATAAAGCTGTTAATTTAAGCGCCGCAGTAAGGGACAAACCTCCGTTCATATACCCCACACCACTCGTTCCATCCAGGTAATGAAGTCTATTACTATGAACATTCGAGTGGCTTTCTATGCACTGGCTTATATGGGCGGTGCTGCCTTAATTCCATCTTCCAGTACCGAGAACATAACGACACGAGGCTCTGGGCAACATGACAATGTTAGTTGCACGCGAGACCAAAGGCTGAAATCCAGTCATTTAAGTGAAGAGTTCTATCTTCTGGGATATAACTCGGTGTGCAGTTTCACCATAGAACAAGGTGTTATACACCAGATGTATAACTCTTCATAGCTACCACTGTGAGAACCTCAAATTCAAGAAATCACGTGTTTGCCGTTACCGAAATTACAGGATTTGAGGTTGTCACTGTTGTGATCGTTAAAACTGTGGTCCTATGTGATACCATGTAGTCTTACATACTGAATCGTCTTTTCGAAAGGGCATGATGCCTTCATCTTCACCGCGTAGGGTGACAAAGTTTCTCAATTACACAGGCAGGTTGAGGAAATGTGGTCGCTCAGAGTAATTTAAAAATCCCGTGTCTGTGTTACAACCTTCCTTTTGTCCTGTCCATTTAAGCGAATCCACTACTCTACAGAATTTATCCCTGCAGATGGAGGCAAATTTTTTCTCCGAAACATCGGTATCCACCTACAAGACTATGTTGTGTCACAAACAAAAAGACCGAAATCTGATAGCGCTACAAAATTATTGACAAATTGCTGAAGCAGTGTCATGCAAACAATTGCATATTGCTCGGACAATTACATTTTAAAACTGTTTTAAATTAGAACTCACCAAGAACCACACCACCAAGGCTCGAACCTAGGACATTCAAATTTGGAATTAGTGATAAATCAGACACAATTTATGATACAATTTCATATATTTGATTGAATGGATTCGGATAGCTCTTAACATTTTGGGAAATTTATATTGGGCCTGTAAGACACATTTTGTAGTCAAACAGTAGAATTTCGTATTTTTTGGGCTAGATATTTAGAGATTGTAATCAATTACTGCACTAAGAAATGAGAAAGAAATTATTTTATATTCATCTAGTTATTAGATCTGTGTTGTGTAAAATATCTTAATAATCACAACTGTTATATTATTAGTCCTCACATCGTGAAGTCAGATTTATAAAATAAGAGACTACTTGTTTGTACATTTCCATGGGAGGGACGAAAAATTTAAGTGTTAAAACGAGGACAGAGAAATACGGTTTCCAATTAAATATTTATCTACGATTTTGGATTTGCTTCACGTACATTTTCACTGCTTTTGGCTACAATTAACATTCACTCTATGAAAGAAGAACTTACAGGTTACCCATTTATATAGGCTTATATTGAATATTACATTCACGGCTGCTGTTTTCTTCTGTGTGCAGTTACAGACTATGCAGATTTCTGATCTGACCAGCGCTAATAATGACAACATGCAATCAGAGTTCAATCATTTACAAAATAAAACCCGAGAGCCGGGATCCAGTCAATATAGCGATTACGCTATGGACTGGACGATTGTGTAACTGTTATTTTCTCCATAATATCGAGACTCAATGAGGCCCATCCAGAATTCTATCCAATGGGCATAGAGTTTCTTCACACGCCGATAGAGCGGCTAGAACACGATGCTTATTTCTCGCTTCCATCTCTTGCCTAACTCGTGTGCGTGGAAATATTATCTGTACTCCCTTACCTATCTTTATTGCTCTGTACTTAATTACGCACAAAGACAACTTCACATTTTAACTTCGTCTACAATCCGAAATTAACGAGACTTTCTAAAGCTCTCTGCTTCTGATGTTATTCTAAAACGAAACAAAAGTTCAAATAACCTTCCCATGTGAAACAGACAGCTAACAGGAGCCGGGTAGAGTTGAATTTAAAAAAGAAGAAAATACAGGGAAAACAAAATGGATAACGTAAAAGCAAAATGGAAAGGCAATAGAATTAATGCTACTTTTAAGTAGAATCATTTCACAAACTCTAGTTAAACGTATGTGGAGCATGCGAGAGTAAACTGAAATTGTAGGTAGCCATCAGCAATGAAAAGTATTTGAAAGTTTAAAAAAGAAGCTACACAGGATCACGAGTAAGATATATGCATTACAATTCATTATAACGACAGAAGCTAATTACAAGGATGGATGTATTCTCAGAAAGGGAGACAAATTTGTGTTATATATAGTTCGTGCAACTATAGGAATTTGGCATCATACTTACTCCGACAAAAGAGTGTTATGCATGGATTTTATATTATTAAAACACATGAGAGAAAAAAAAACCGATATGAAGAAAATATTAAGAAATTTTAAAATATGAAAATTAAAATTAAAATTACAGCTGTAATAAAATATGATATATTATATTATAGTAGTGTTATAACACAAATATATTATTATATTATTTATTTAAATTAGAGCTTCCCTCTATTATTACTATTAATATAAATAAGCACCTACTCGTAATATTTCTGTTGTCAATCGTGAAACGAAACTAAATGATATGAAAATTAATCGAGAAAAGATTAACATTTGTAGTTAATCAAATTCTTGGAACAGAAATCACGCGACAAGAAAATTATTAGTGTAAATATATTATAATAAAATTCGCACTACCAAAAACAAATAAAGAGCATAGCAATTTACCTAAAATTCTGTATTGACACTAAGCTAATTGACTGAAAATGTTACAAAAGATTTGCTACTGATCTCTGGGGTAATTAACCAGGGAACATAAGCCTAATACAGACAGACAGATAACACACGGTCATTGTTCAATCAGAACTGAGTAGACGCGGAGAAATAAACTGAAATTATACACTCGTGTTCATGGCCCCTATTTACATTGTTACGTTAATCTTTTAAGTCTAAAGTCATCTGTCATTACCTACAAAAATGTAACTTTAGCTTGGTTCGTCGCAGAGGAATGAAATATATTACGGAAGTTATCTACGCAACAGAATGATACAAAACAGGATTTAAAAATAATTACGGTCACTGTTTCATCTGTTTTAGAAATTTATCTTTATCAAAATAAATTACTCAATAAAATATTTGAAATTTCAATTGTACAAAACTTCTCTCCTAAAACACTGTTTAAGAAACTAACTTAGGAATAAACATACACTAGACCTACAGATGCCACATATGGGCGGCCTCACACCAACTGCGTCAAGACAAGCGTCAAGACTTGAGACAAAAGAAGCAGTCTTGCTTCATTCGTGATTCGTCAGCATGAAGCTGATGTCAGCATCATGACTCAGACCGGTGTGCGACGGTTTTCATAATCTCATTCGTTTCAATTGTGCTCCTTTCTTTGCGTCATATTGCAGACATCGTGTCTTGACTGTTACATGTCTTGGCGCATGCCGGTCTGGGGCCTACCTAACGCCTGAATAATTCCTGCGTCACTCAGTAAATATATTGCAGAAGTTCTCCGTACTGCAGTCACGTCAGTGTGGTTTGGTAGAAATGTGGCGAATTCGGTTTTCTATCCGCCACAAGAACCAGAAGCAGTTTCTGTTTGCAGCATTTCAATAAAATACAATTTCTTTTAGTTTCTTGGTGTGGGGTGAGACTGAGTCCACTTGGTACGTCGGTCACTAACTGGCCTACTGTACCAGCCCCGGATGATAGATGATGATTGTGGAGCAGTTGGTGGAATGAGAATTGACAGGGGAAAGGGAAGTACTCGGAGAAAACTGCCCCAGTACCACTTTGTCCACTACAAATCCCACATGTGATGACCTGGGCTCGAACCTGGGTCGCCGCTGTGGGAAACTGACTCCTAACCGCCTGAGCTAAGGCAGGGTCTTTAAAATATGAAATTAATTACATACTTTTGCATTCTGGATATATTACTAGAGTTTCCATGTATGGGTCCAAAGCCTATGTTTAACGGATATGTATTACAGCTCGCTATCGGCCACGCGGGATAAAGCAGACCTGTCCTGACGCAACTTAACACGAACACACTGCTCACCTGTATGGTGATGTAGTGAGAAGAACTGGAGGGGGTGGTGCAGGGCACGACCCTCCAGTGCACGGGGCCACATTACAGGGACACTGATGGTGATGGTGCAGTCCCACAGACCTGACGCTCTCTCTAGACACCGACCTCGCCAATGGCTGCAGCATCAGGGTCGAATGAGAATCACGTCTTTCGCCACATCGACATCTCGAGTGGGCGTGTGGCAGCAGGTGGTATCCTGCAGACGCTGTTCTCAGGCGGCAGGTGCCTGCCATTGTGGATGTAGACGTCAGGCCATGGTGGCTGCCTGCAGGCGAGGTGACCCCGACAGAAGAGTCGCCTTGCAGACGGCAGTGGAGCTCTATGTCAGGTACAGACCTCGCGGCCCCCGTGCTTTCCTCCATGAGACAGACCCCAGTGCCACTCTCCTGGCTACCTCCTCCGTGGCCTGGAGAGGACAAGAGCAAGGTCGTACATTCTTGGCGCATTAACACGGGTTTGCTGGTGGCCGGGGTGATGCTTGGTACGATGGTGACTGGGGGCTCTTGCGCCAAGAGGCTAGTGGTCTCGTCACCGCTGCCGTAGCCCGAGTTCGCTACGGCGTCTGTTTGTTGCGGGGGAGGAGAAGGTGCACCAGAAGTGGTGGTGCCACCCGTCGTGCTCATGGTGACACGCGGTGAGTCACTGTCACGTCATCACTCACAAAGCCTGCAAAAGAGAGCACACGGCATCAGACATTCTGCCCACTTGTTATGGGAACTTCATGCAGCAAGAGCGGATGTACTAATTACGTCATCAATAAGGGACCGATATTTTCGTGGCTGTTTTATAGAGACCTCGTAATTGGTCTATCCCTCTCCCAAAGGATACAAGTGTTCTCAAGGGCCCGCCACTAGACGCTATCCTAAGCCAGATTAGTCCAGTCCACACTTTTCATTCAGTTGGCATAGCGACGGTCTATGGGCTGGAATCCCCGGTTTCGATTCCCGGCAAGGCAACATTTATCTCTCCTTCACAGCGTCCAGACCGACTCTGGGGCCCACGTAGCCTCCTGCTCAATGGGTGCCGCAGTATCTTTCTCCGGTGAGTAAAGCGGCCGGAGCGTGAAGCTGATCACTGAGCTCCAACCAGTGTTCAGGTGAAGAATACGTGGATTTATTTCTCCTCTCCCCCACACGTCTTCATGACGTAGTGCTTAACCAATTAAGTTAAAACGTTACCTGTACCCTATTTCTTTACAATTCATTTTAATATTAGCTTCCAGCTTGCTCTTACGTATTTCAAGGAGTAACTTCTCTTCAGGTTTTAAGACCAATATTTCATATACTCCCGTTATGAAAGCTACATGCCTTGCCTATCTCATCCGGCTGGATTATTGCCTTAATGTTTATCATTTTAACGTTAATTTACATTATGAGGAATTTACAGAAGTGATATACTGCATTTTACCTCTTAATTATACAGAAAATGGCCGATTATCTTCAAACATTCCATATTTTATATAATCACAGCACAAGCTATAACAATGCGAGCAACGAAATTACTTTGGTAATAGAAGCATAAATGATTTACCAAATCAATTATGCCATGATGAGTTATGAAAGCGGAGGTCACGTCCCGGTAACCTGGTTACGTAATGGCAGAAAATGCAATCCCAATTCCTCTGAGTGGGCATTAAATATCATTCCATACACAAAGAGAGAAAACTAAAGCGACATGACACTGATTGGATTTATGGTCTACATCAGGCTCCGAGTGAGCAGGAACGCCCAGAAAAGATATCCGAAACACCTTAATTTCTGCTGCACGGCTAGGGGCTCTGTGTTCTAATCCCAGCACAGGCAAGCATTATGTTCTTCTCTTGAATATCCAAACCTATCCATCCTATTATAGAGTGGGCATTGTGGACTCTTTCGCAGATGGTAAAGCAGCCGGAACGTGAGTTTGACTATATCTCAAAGCACCGGAAAAAACCGACAGGAACATTCTCCAAACATCAAAATAAAAGTTATGAGTAAACATAATAAAAGTCAAGCGGTACTATAGGACACCGAAGGTAATGTGCAATGGGTTCTTAATCTCGGTATCAGACGGAGGTGGGCAATTGTATTCTTTTGCGCTTGCGGAAACAGCTCCTAGTAGCGATCGGACAAGAGGCGGGGTGGACCCCAGGACCAGTCTAGGAGCTGTAGCGAAGACAGAATTTTTGCTTATCCTGGTATTCCAACCACTTATCGGATTAAATTTCTGCAGAGTTACAAATGGTTTGTCTGAAGTGTCAACAGATGCAAAGTGAAGTTTCACTGGTAACGTCAGACGCAGATGCGGGTAGGAGAGGAGATATCTCTTCAAAGTAACTAGGCAATTACATATGAGTTTAAGGCAATGATAGGCATTCAGCGACAGAGGATGGATTTATCCTGGAATGTCATAAAAAATTCATATAAAATAATCAGAATTGGTCTCAGTGTGATTAACACTTAATGACGATAATTTATTAAATATTTTTCGGTGTCGTAAACTTTTCTGAAATTTACAAAGCAGTTACAAGTAAAAATAAACCTTA